ATTAAGCAATTACCATGTTTAGAAATATAAAAGGAAAAACAGCAATCAAATATTTTTTGCATGACTGATCGGGTGTCCAAGATCAAACGCACCAGTTTTCATTTTTGATTTTTCTTCGCCCGCTTTGACTCAGTTCATTTAATTTTTTGTCTTATTCAATTTTATCGAAGCTGACTTTAAAATTTAACCTTCTGTTCCGCAAGCATAGACGCAGGTGTGTGCAATCTGAAACATATGCATATCCTGCATCTAGAGGCCCATGTGGTACCTTCTCCCATCGCCGATTTCGCCCATCGACCACTGGTCAAGAATTGCCAACTACCACTGAAGTGGTGCTTGCGGACTTATGGTCCGCCACTAAAGTGGTGCTTGCGTATTTGTGTCTGCCATTATAGTGGTGCTTGCGGAGTTATAAACAACAGTTACAACACATGAAAATCATACTGTGACGGAAAAAACCACATCATAGCACCAAAAACATCGAATCGCGTTTAGATTCTAATAAAAAACGTTTCACCAAAAGAAATCGAATCAGTTTTGATAAATTCTTTAAAAAAACAGTAAAAAAATTAGAAAAATTAGTAAAACAATTTACCAGCAATTTCCGAGGCATCTTTTGGAACACATTCATCGTCATCGTCGCCATCATCGGGGAAATCGCTATCGTCCGCCGATTGCGGCAAAATATCGACGACTTGCAGCGATTCTGAATCGCTATCATCATCGTCGTCGTCATCTCTGAAGATATCAGCAGCTTGCTTCGCCGTAAAGAGCTGTTTTTTGCGAAATGGCATGTCCAACACGATCTTAAAAAAAAGATCAGTTGTAAATNCTAAAGTGGTATTTTACAAATCATGGTATACGTCGATATGAACAAGAGTAAAAAATTTTTACTTACTAGATTCGAATTCTACATAATAAAATACCCCAGGAAAACTGTTTTCATAAAAATATTTGGTCTAATTATTGCTGGACAAGAGAAAAACGGCGAATTATGCAAATTAGAAAAAGTGCACACACTTTAACCGCTGTGCACGTGCACCAGGCGGGTGCTCTCATATATTGATCGGGCACATTGGGTATCTCGCACATCGGTTGCTTTGCTATAGGCAACTTAACTGAAAGCACTCGTGTATTCAAGAAGGGCGGGACTTTGGAAAATGCTATTTTTACCACCACTATAGTGGTGCTTGCGGAACAGAGGGTTAATCTTAAAAAAGGGAAAAGCATGGAAGTCACGAGTTTATATGTGCCTATGTATATGTTTGATAACTCAGTGGCAGTTTCTATGAAAAGTACTTCGACTATAAAGATCATTCCCTATGCAATTGCGTCCCTGCGTTTCTTTTAGCAAAATTCTCTATAAACTACTCTCTAAAAATAGAAATTCTTCCCAACGAATCCTTTTTCTGCTTAAGGTTTCGAATTTGATTCGTTTTAGATGTAGAAACCTTTTAGTCTAGAACACATAAAATGGTTTGGCAAAAACCTACGAAACCCCACATTGTTCCGTAATGATCTTACGAAACCTTAAATAGTTTCGTCAATTTATGCGAAACCTTAACGAAGTTTCGTACAAAACGGTAAAAGCTTCCGTATGAAACTTTCTCGTATTTGCAATCTGATGAGTTTTGTACGAATCCACGTTAAGATTTCGCATAAATTGACGAAACTATTTAAGGTTTCGTAGGCCATCATGGAACGATGTGAGGTTTCGACGCCAAATCATTTTAGGTTTTCATCACTAAAAGATTTCTACATCTGAAACGAATTTGAAACCTCAAGCAGAAAACGTTTTCGCTGGGAATCATTTTTTTTCAGAGAGTAATCCCACAACATGACTGAGTGATTAGCGAATACTTTCTTACACGCTACCTTCCATTTCCTACCCGTTTTGAAAATTCACAAGTGATTCATACTACTTCCGAACTAAATTATACCCTGATTTATCTGCTGAACTTGGCAGCTTACACCTATTCATGCGCTCACAGGAAATATCATATCATCTCTTAGCTATGGTAGATGAGAAGTCTAAACAATTGACACTTTTTAGCAAACATTCTGGTTTAGCTACCCATGCGAAAAGAGAAATACACTGTCACTCAACACATTTTTAACGACTCACTTAATACCTTATTTCGCAAAATTTCTATCGAACCATTCAAAGAAATATTGTGTTTACTTATTTCTTTCATGTAAGAAAAAAAGAGTTATATAAAAGGTTATTTATAGTTGCTACCTTACAGAATCGTTTTTCTTCTCATTTATTCTTTTCAACTCACTGAGGTTCTCTAGTATTTCTGCCGGATATCTGAAAAATTACAAAAACAAGAATTCTTTTAGAAATATAGAAAGTGACTGTAGTTATTAACTAACTTGTTTGAACACTTAGTTGCATCAGGCATAATTCAATCGTTAACAAATATTCGAAAAATCCCTTTGAACTTAAGAGTCGCTGTAGAGTCAAGCAACTTTTAAATCTTTTCTTAACAAAGTTTTGTTAAGGCTTAGTTTAATTGAAACCTGTTTATTAAGCCGCAAATCGACTAAAACCGTTACATGTGTTAATGCAACGGTTATGAGGTACAAAAAGATATTAGAACGAAAAGAAGAAAGATACCTATCAACACACCAAAGTGATGGCATTTGTATTCAAGATTTCTTTACTGTATCGATCAATATCTGTGCGATTGAAAAAGCATTCATGTTTATCTTGAATCATACTTGTACTGTTATCCATATGACAAATTGTCATATTATTTATATCACAATCCGACGATAATGATCCATTAGACGTAGTACCAACACTCATCCATCGACCATCAAGGGTTATTATTGTACCTGGTCTTAAAACATCAGGAGTTTGATACATGCCACCAATCGATTTCTGGAGTTGTTGTTGTGAACATGCATCCTGATACAGGTATCCATAACCATACATATTCACAATGACGCATGTTGATTCCGATACACTTCGTGTCTCAAACTGACGAAATAATCCTTGCAGAAGTAATACAATGAAAATAAACAAAATCATGTTTCTCAGGTATTATTGTTCATGTTGCTGGTCTTGTTACTTACTAATGAAGTTAAAGAAAAAAGGCTGCCTGTCTATATATACAGTTTACTTCAGACTGTATCTGTATGATCTTTTATAATGTAACCACTTGATTATTCGAAGGTACGGAAAAGATATTTTTAGACCAGAATAAATTAACATATATCCACCATATAATGAGTAGAAAGCCGCCGAAGTGAATTTAACCGAAGTAATTTTGTGTTATGCAAATATATGAAAAAATATTTTCGAAAGGACATTACACAAGTTCCACCTGTATTTAATCACTAGCAACTATTAAGTGTATTTTATCATGCACGACAGTATATTTAGAGATTCATATACGCAATTATTATCATACCATATTAGTTGGCCAAGCGAGAAAAAGCATTCAACATAAATTATGAACCGGTTTCAAAGATTAAAGCATTAATCAATTCTGTAAAACATTAGCCAGTGGTTAAAATATTTGGCTAATCATGAAATTCATCTTTAAACTAAACCGTGTCTAAAAGACGACATCAATCTCGCGATGGATCATTTAATTGGATCTTGCAAAGAGAGAATGAAACTTGGAAGCTGTCTGATCAAATTAGTCATAAGATCCAGCCTATAGGCAGTTTGATTTATACTTTCCATTGGCCAATCACAGTTGAAAGGAACACTAATCCAGACACTTCAGAGAGAACTATTGAACGAGAATGTTCGTTCAAACAGTTTTATCTGGAGTTGTGCGTAGTAACACCAATCAAACGTGTATCAATGAACATTGTCGCTGAACATTTCTCTCTAAAATGTTCCAACTAAAAGCAGTTTTTAATGAACCAAACCATTTACCATCGACTCTGTACGCGGCCACACAGTAGGTTCTCTTGAAAATGACTTTAAGAACGGTCCAAACATTGAGTAATTTTAACTTTAGCCAAACTTTAATTAAATAAAATATCGATGTTGCTGTAACCAAAACGATTAGTATTCTCTTAATTATTGGCTTACTTCTGCAAGGATTATTTCGTCAGTTTGAGACACGAAGTGTACCGGAATCAACATGCGTCATTGTGAATATGTATGGTTATGGTTATGCATACCTGTATCAAGATGCATGTTCACAACAACAACTCCAGAAATCGATTGGTGGCATGTATCAAACTCCTGATGTTTTAAGACCAGGTACAACAATAACCCTTGATGGTCGATGGATGAGTGTTGGTACTATCGGTATACCCAGGTAAAATGGCCCTTTCTTGTTTTTGCGATAACTCCATCAGTTTTTGTGCAATCTGCTCAAAC